TTCAAGGGTCTATCAAAGAGGCGTGGATTTATTAAAGAATATTTTTTCAAGGGTCTATCAAAGAGGCGTGGATTTATTAAAGAATATTTTTTCAAGGGTCTATCAAAGAGGCGTGGATTTATTAAAGAATATTTTTTCAAGGGTCTATCAAAGAGGCGTGGATTTATTAAAGAATATTTTTTCAAGGGTCTATCAAAGAGGCGTGGATTTATTAAAGAATATTTTTTCAAGGGTCTATCAAAGAGGCGTGGATTTATTAAAGAATATTTTTTCAAGGGTCTATCAAAGAGGCGTGGATTTATTAAAGAATATTTTTTAGGGCTCACAAAGAGGCGTGGATTTATTAAAGAATATTTTTTAGGGCTCACAAAGAGGCGTGGATTTATTAAAGAATATTTTTTAGGGCTCACAAAGAGGCGTGGATTTATTAAAGAATATTTTTTCAAGGGTCTATCAAAGAGGCGTGGATTTATTAAAGAATATTTTTTCAAGGGTCTATCAAAGAGGCGTGGATTTATTAAAGAATATTTTTTCAAGGGTCTATCAAAGAGGCGTGGATTTATTAAAGAATATTTTTTCAAGGGTCTATCAAAGAGGCGTGGATTTATTAAAGAATATTTTTTCAAGGGTCTATCAAAGAGGCGTGGATTTATTAAAGAATATTTTTTCAAGGGTCTATCAAAGAGGCGTGGATTTATTAAAGAATATTTTTTCAAGGGTCTATCAAAGAGGCGTGGATTTATTAAAGAATTTTTTTTGCGGTTCCAGAAGAGGCTTGGATTTATTAAAGAATTTTTTTTTTTGGGGGTTCCAGAAGAGGCGTGGATTTATTAAAGAATATTTTTTCAAGGGTCTATCAAAGAGGCGTGGATTTATTAAAGAATATTTTTTCAAGGGTCTATCAAAGAGGCGTGGATTTATTAAAGAATATTTTTTCAAGGGTCTATCAAAGAGGCGTGGATTTATTAAAGAATATTTTTTCAAGGGTCTATCAAAGAGGCGTGGATTTATTAAAGAATATTTTTTCAAGGGTCTATCAAAGAGGCGTGGATTTATTAAAGAATATTTTTTCAAGGGTCTATCAAAGAGGCGTGGATTTATTAAAGAATATTTTTTCAAGGGTCTAAAACAGGCTTATGAATTGGTCTGCACACATGCACTAATTCTCATCACATCCTGATAATTGGTTTTTATGCCACACATTTCCAAATTTTGTTTATATTTCATTTATTAAATAAAAATGTGCTCCTTGTGCTGACGTTGAGGATACGAAATAGAATAAAAATAAAGAAATTCGGTTATTAGCTTTTTGTTGTTTCCCCATCCCCATAGTGCTGTGGTGGTGATGGCGGAAGCTGCCATGCAGGTGAACAATTGTTCACCTGTTTCCCAGGCTAACGAACCGCGCGAATCAATGTTAGAAATTTTCGCGAGTACACATTTGGCCAAAGCCAGGCTAAAGGCTATTTTGTTACAATCACTTTATGACAGGGTGGTTCCTCTTCGTTGTTGTGTTTTTTTTTTTTTTTTTTTTGGTTAGAAGATTTTGTTTCCATTTCCCAAATTGTTTTAAAATATTTTTGGTGTTTTTTATGAAGATGTTTTTTTTTTTGTGCTCCGCGGTTTATATACCACAATTGCTAGTTAGATGGCTGGCTGGTTCACCTCTATTCCGAAACACATGGTTTTTTATTTGATGGTTTGTCTCGGTGTTCGTTGATTGCATTTTGCGTGGCGTTTTAGAAATAATGAAAAAATAACTTTGCTCCGAGCATTTTGTGAAACGCTTTGCTTTTTTATTATTAGTAATATAATATTTTTTTGAGAGACTGTGTAGTAATATTTGAATTTAAATTGAATTTTGCCAAAATTCATATGTTCCGGCATGCGAAACAAAGAGTTTTCGTTGATGTTTTTGGTTGATTTTCGTTTGAGATTTTTGTTTCTTTTTTTAGGTTCACTGAAATGTAATGAATTGAAAGTTTTCCATATTCTATTAAAGGTGTTAAAATTGTTTTATTACAATATGAATTTATTTAAATGGTAATATGAAATTAAAAACCAGTACAGGAAAACGCCAGGTCGGAATAAGTAATAAAATATAAATGGGAGCTATATCTAAATCTGAACCAATGTCAACGAAACTTTACACACATCATTCTAGACTCATTTCAATGTGCTTCAATACGTGTATTCAAAATTCCGTGTAAATTGAAAAAAAATAGATACTTTGGTTCACCATTTACATGAAATCGGACGAAAATATATATGGGAGCTATATCTAAATTTGAACCGATTTTCATGAAACTTGACACTCATCAATCTAGACTTAATTTAGTACGCTATGCCAAATTTCGTGCAAATCGAAAGATATTTTAGAACTTTGGTGCACAATTTACCTTAAATCGGATGAAAATATATATGGGAGCTATAACTAAATCTAAACCGATTTTTCCCAATTTCAATAGGGTTCGTCCTTGGGCCAAATAAGTGACTTGTGCCAAATTTCATCCAAATCGGATCATAAATGCGACTTGTACTTTGTTCACAATTTAACATCTACAGATGGACGGACATATATAAATCGACTCAGAAAGTGATTCTATGCTTATTCTCAAAAGGAACCATGTGTCTATCTCGTTTCCTTTTGCCTGTTACAAACATATGCACATAGACATAATACCCTGTACCACATCGTGGTGAAGGGTATAAAAAGGGGGTTATATGGGGACTACCCCCAAAAAGGGGTGAATATTAATAATTTTTATCGGATATCAAAATTGCTACTTTAGTGGCACAACGGACACGCTGCTATGCTATGTACTCGCCTACGCCGATGACATCGATATAATGGGTCGAACATTGAGAACGGTAACAGCCACCTTTGAACAAATTGAAAATAAGTCTTTCAAAGTGGGTCTGGCAGTAAATGGCGAGAAGACCAAGCTGATGGTAACAAGGTCCAAGACATCGAACCAACCTGCAACTTTCGAACTAAAACTTCGAGGTAGTCAAAAATTGTATATACCTTGGTACCGCCATAAATAAAACTAATGACATCAGGATGCTACTATGGTCTAAGTAAACAGTTTAAAAAACCAGATCACCTCCCGCCAGACCAAACTCACTCTCTACAAGACGCTAATACTATCCGTGCTATTATATGAATCTGAAGCATGGGTACTTACGCAAGCAGATGAGGCAGCTCTTGGAGTGTTTGAGAAAAATACTCCCAAAGACCTATGGGCCGATCTGTGTAGACGGTGAATATCGCCGTCGAATGAACCATGAGTTTTAACAGCTATTCTCGGACTTCGACATTGTCAGACTTATCGAGTTTCAGCGACTTCGTTGGCTAGGTCATGTTTTAGAAGGGATGAAGATTCCCCAGCTCAAAATGCATATAAAAGCGAACCAGCTGATGGCTCACACAGAAGGGTAAAGCCACGAATCAGATGGATCAAGTGGAAGACAACATTGCCGAACATGGTCTTTCAAATTGGAAAAACTGCGCAAAATACCGACGTGCCTGGATATATTTTTTTTAAGCCCGGCTTATGGAACGAAAGTTCTGTCACAAGCCATCTAGGTAAGTAAGTAAGTGATAATTTTAAAACAAATCTTTCTAATCAAATTTTCACATACAGCATTTCGAATTTATGAAAATTAGAAATAGCTGAACTTCTTAGCTTCCATATGACACAAATTTTATTACCATACCTAAGTTCAAAAGTTATTTGACAAAAACAAAAGCCTTAATCTCAGTCCGTTAAGAAAAATCAAGGTATTGGTATAGTTGAATTAAAAAAATCCTTAATAAATCTCCGCCTTTGCTAGGCCTTGACATGGTAACTAGTCCTTCAAAAATATTCTTTATTTAATCCGCACATCTACTAGACCATGATCGGTAACTGGTGCTTCAAAAATATTTTTTATATATCTACTAGGCCTTGATGGTAATGGGTTCTTCAAAAATATTCCATAATAAATCCAGGCCTTGATATGGTAGCTAGTCCTTCAAACAGTACTTTTTAATAAAATCGCGTCTCTGATTAGCCTTGATATGGAAGCTAGTCCTTCAAAATGTATTCTTTAATAAATCCACGCCTCTACCAGGCCTTGATATGGGAACTAGTCCTTCAAAAATTATTCTTTAATAAAATCGCGTCTCTGATTAGCCTTGATATGTGAGCTAGTCCTTCAAAAATATTTTTTAATAACTCCCCGCCTTAACTAGGCCTTGATATGGGAGCTAGTCCTTCAAAAAGTACTCTTTAATAAAATCGCGTCCCATATCAAGGCTAATTCGACTTGATATGGAAGCTAGTCCTTCAAAAATATTCTATAATAAATCCCCGCCTTTACTAGGCCTTGATATGAGAGCTAGTCCTTCAAAATTTATTCTATAATAAATCCCCGCCTTTACTAGGCCTTGATATGAGAGCTAGTCCTTCAAAAAGTATTCTTTAATAAATCCACGCCTCTACTAGGCCTTGATATGGGAGGTAGTCCTTCAAAAATATTATTTAATAAATCCACGCCTCTACTAGAACTTGATATGGGAGCTAGTCCTTTAAAAATAAATCCATGCATCCATTAGGCCTTGATACGGAAACTACTCCTTCAAACATATTATTTAAAACATCCTACATCTTGTACAAAAATTTCCGCCTCCAGCTATGCGACACTTTGTAAAAACAGCTGATATATAAAATCGATAAATCAGAACTATTTTCATATTTCCACTCCGTCCCTTTCCCCCATGAAAAAAAATTAAAAACCCTACACATTTATTATTTTTAATAATATTTATTTATGGAACACATTAATAGTTAGGTTTTATTGTTTACAACCAAAATTATTTTTTTTTTCAAAACTATTATTTAATAACATCTTAATTTCTATAAGCAATTTATATATAATTTTTTAACGTTATAGGCTCTAAATATCAATTTTTTAATCCTAATTATTTTATCGCCTCGGCGTACCCAATTTAACATTTATTTCCCATGTTGCGGAGGCTGCTGTAGCTCCACTGTTGAATTAGTCGCCTCCGGGGAACCCGTTGTCCTTAAAGATGTCGGCGGAACCACCGGTGTTGCCGGTTCCATGGTATACATATCCCGCAGCAACCTTGCAATGGGTACATTACCAATTGTCTCCTTGAAAAATAAACTCTCAATGGTACAGGCCCGAATCGAACGCAATGAGGGTAGGAGTAACAATAATCTGCCAAATCGCGTCGCTTGCCGTGGATAACGCAACCGTACATGATCGGAGAGAATACATTGAGCCTGATCTTGTAACATTTCAACGGGTTGAATATCACACAGGCCAGGAACTTCGGGACTAAAGAGAGCAATGGCCTTCATGCAACCAACTTCACTGCCATCGGGAGCGATTTGACGGAAACGTAGCAATATCTCCTGTATAGTTTTCATTTCCATATCTGTCGTTTCATCTTGTGGTAGACGTTCCTTAATCATTGCCGATTCGAAAATGGGATTTAAATCCAACGGGGTTATCCATTGAGCCAGATTGAGAAGGAACAATTCTTTCCAGGATTCCTAAAACGAGAGCGAGAGAGAGAGAGAGAAAGACAAAAGGAAGATTAAAATATTGTTACGATACAAATTTTTTAGTTAATATAGAGACTGATATAGGACCTGGTACAAGACGTACTACTTGGAAAATATTCTATAATAAATCTACGCCTCTACTAGGCCTTGGCAACAGTAAATAGTCCCCCAAACTAGTCTTTCAGAGCTGTTCTTAAATGAAAATATTCTTTAATAAATGCAGACCTTTTCATTCCTCGGTATGGGAGCTATTCTTTTAAAAATATTATTTAATAAATCCACGCCTCAGTTGGCCCTTGAAAAATATTCTGTAATAAATCCACGCCTCTACCTACTAGGCCTTATTATGCTAACTAGTCCTTCAGAAATATTCTTAAATAAATCCACGATTCCATTTAGCCATATTCTTTAACAAATCCAACCCTTTGCTAGGTCTTGGTATAGGATCTTATCCTTAGAAAATATTTTTGTATAAATCAATGCCTCTACTAGGCCTTGATATGGGAGCTAGCCTTTCGAAAATATGTTTTAATAATCCACGCCTCTACTAGGCCTTTGACATGGTAACGAGTTCTTTGAAATATTATTTAATAAATCCACGTCTCTACTAGGCCTTAGTATGGTAACTAGTCCCTCAAAAATATTCTGTAATAAATCCATGCCTCTAATAGGCCTTGATTTGGGAGCTAGTCCTTCAAAATTGAATTTTAGCCACGCCTCTACTAGGCCTTGACATGGTAACTAGTCCTTCAACCATATTCTTTAATAAATCAAGACCTTGGCATAATAACTAGCCCTTCAAATATATTCTTTAATTTATCCATACAAGCGGATAAATCCACGCTACTGATAGACCCTTGAAAATATAAAATGTTCAGTGCGGTCCTTCTAATTACTTGTCGATATTCCCTTCACCGTGGGTTGTGTTGTAATGCTTGGCCTATAAAAATATTTAAAACACAAAAAACCAGGGGCAGCAAAGTCGGACGGGGCCGGATACCCTACACAACTACCACGGAACTCTAACTTTCTGCTGATTTTTATTCCTAGCCTGGGCAATATTTCGTGATAGTTGCACCCTCTTGCCCGGTTAGAGGTCAATAGCTTCTCTTTCTTACACTGACATAAATATTACTAATATTCAGTGCGGTTCTTCTAATTACTTGTCCATATTCCCTTCACCGTGGGTTGTGTTGTAATGCTCGGCTTATAATTGTGGCCTATAGATCGATGAAAAAAACACACAAAAAACAGTTTTAAGCTACTTTAGCAAAATTATTAGATCATCACGAAAATTATAGGCGTTATCCTTGTCCATAACACGATACCCTACACAACTACCAGTGTGGAACTCTAACTTTCTGCTGATTTTTATTCCGAGTACCTGGGCAATATTTGGTATCAATTTAGTTGCACCCTCCTGCCCGATATAGAGGTCAATAGCTTCTATTCCTTACAGGAGACATATATATCCGAATATTACTAATTTTCATTTTTCACACCAACAGTCCTTCTAATTACTTGTCCAACAGGCCCTTCCCGTGGGTTGTGTTGTGATCTTCGGCTTATAATTGCGGCCTATAGAGCGACCAGAAAAAAAACACCAACAAAATTAATTTCTCGGTCCACTTCATCCCAAAATTATTATCTGATCATCACCGAAAATTATAGGCGTTGTCCTTGACCATAACAGGAACCTCATGGAACATTTGGCCCTCCAATGAGGCAATGGTTTACTAAATAATATCTGAATACGTAAACGCCTGTATGCCAATATATATTGGTATCAATTTAAAGGTCGACCACTCCTCTGGGATATACTATCAACTTTGTCATATGTCCTTATTGTGAGTAAATATATATGGACTATACGGATACACACTTTGTCATTTTTCACATAAAAGTCAGGACCCATTTGTCCCGCTAAATATTGACCGATGTTTATCAAAACAGTCATATATATTTTGGTACGATTTATGGTCCATGTAAAAATTCGCGATTTGCACGAAATTTGGCACAGCGTACTGAATTATGCCTAGAGTGATGGGTGTTAAGTTTCGTGAAAACCGATTCAGATTGAGATATAGCTCCCATGTATATTTTCGTCCGATTTAATGTAAATGATCTTTACCCAAAGTCAATATATATCCTTCGATTTGCACGAAATTTGGCACAGCGTAATGAATTAGGTCTGGAATTATGTGCGTTAGGTTTCCTGAAAATCGGTTCAGATTTATATATAGCTCCCATATATATTTTCATCCTATTTACGGTAAATGGGCCACCAAAGTCCTTACATATCTTTTGATTTGCACAAAATTTGGCATAGCGTACTGAAATAAGTCTAGAATGACATGTGCTAAGTTTCGTGTAAATCGGTTCAGATATCGATAGAGCTCCCATTTATAATTTCGACCGATTTTAGGTAAATGTTGCACCAAAGTCCCTATATATATTTCGATTTGCAGAAAGCTATAATATCATTGAGCCTAACATGATATGTGAAGTTTTGTAAAAATCCATGTTAATATAGAATATAAATATAATTATTTCATGTAAATCAAAGTCTCTATATATTAGGATTTGCACGAAATTTTGGATAGTGCACTAAAGGTCTAAAATATGTGTTTTTTAAAATCGGTTATTAGATATAGCTCCCATATATAGTTTCCCCCGATTTTAGGTAAATGATATGCCAAAGTCCCTATATATGGTTCGATTAGCACGAAATTTGGCACAGCATTCTAAATAGAGCCTAGAATGATGTGTGCAAAGTTTCGTGAAAATCGGTTCAGATTTAAATATATAGCTCCCATATATATTTTCGTCCGATTTAATGTAAATGGTGTACCTATGTCCTTATATACCTTTCTGTCTGTCTGCCATGTTAAATTGTAACAAAGTACAGGATCCCAATTGGATGAAATTCGGCACAGCTCATTTATTTGGCCCAAGGACGAAGAACCCTATTGAAATTGGAAACATCGGTTCAGATTTAGAAATACTCCCATATATATATTCGTCCGATTTAATGTAAATGGTGCATCAAAGTCCCTTTATATCCTTCGATTTGCACGACATTTGACATAGCATACTGAAATGAGTGTATAATGATGTGTGCAAAGCTTCGTGAAAATCGGTTCAGATATAGATATAGCTCCCATCAGCAATTAGATATAGCTACCATATATAAGTTCGTCCGATTTTTCGCAAATGATTTAAAGTGTGTTCGCTTGGCACAACATTACGCGCAACGTATCGAAATGGGTCTGGGTTAACCGTTATAGGGGGCTACCCGAAAAAGTGGATCGATATTAATAATTTTTAGTGGAGACATTTGGTACGTGAACCGATAAAGCTCATCTTCGGACCTGCAGACAAGAGACAACTTTATGCAAAATTTTGACGATCTGTCTCAATTCGTTTAGACGCTAGAGTGATTACAACAGAAAGACGGACCTGCATAAATCGTCATAGAATTTTACGCTGATCAAAAATATATACACTTTATACAAATATACCCGGTTATTGATCGTTGGGTTAAGTCGGTTCACATATAGACACAAATCACATATTTAACTTAGTCGAATTTCATGTCAATGGTCCTTCAAAAATTCAAGGTCCTTAAGGATGTATTTCTTGAATGTAGCCGAAGTGGTAAAGGGTATCATATACTCGGCCCCGTCCGGCTTACTGCTTTCCTTACTGGTTTTTAATTCGCGTTTATTAGAGTGACTAGGAAAAATATTCCATTTTTATTAGAGTGTCTCGAAAAAATATATATTTTTAAATCCACGTTTGTTAGAGTCGCCCGAAAAAAATATTTAAAAAAATCCCAGTTTATTGGGGTCTCCTGACAAAATATATTTTGTAGTCCCTCAAAAAATTTTTGTATGTTAGGGTCTCCTGAAATAATTTATTTATTTTTTGGTCTTACCTGCAATAGTAAAATCTGATCCGCCCTTGACAATGTTTGAAACGGCATCAAACACTTAACCCAACGCACGGCCATAAACAACAGCCTCGCCGTGGTCTCCTGCAACATTTCCCACGACATCAGTCGTGAGTCCAAGCCAATTAATTGCTGTGGCAAGGGTGGAAACAGAATGGAATTATGCATTTGATATTGAATGATTTCCTGACATTTGTCCGGACTTAAAAGCAATTCAATGAAACCATTTTGGCGAGCAGCATACAAGGCGGCGGCGGCTTGTTGGTGGTGATGGTGTTGCGGGGTGGTAGCGGTTGCTGTCGCTGAAGATGGAGCCAAACCCGCATGCAGGTTATTTGGAAGAGATCCTGCTGCTGATACTGGTGTCGACGTTGTTGCATTGGTGTTATTGGAACCTGGCCTTATTTGAGTAAATGCCGTCAAATGTATGGGTGAGCTGCTACGTAAATTGGATCCGGGCGAAGAAGCTGGAGATGAGTGGCCAATGTTGTTGTTGTGTGTCAAATGCATTTGCTGTAAACTTAAATTGCGATTGTTAAATGAAGAATTGTTGTTGTTGTGGGTATTGTCACTGTTGCCACTGCTACTGCCCAGACTATGCGGCAAACTATTTAAAGTTATGGGCGAATCGGATGTATTGTTGCTATGGTTTGTTGCTGTTGTTGCATCCCCAGGCGATAGAGGCTCTGGTTGGCCTTGGGAATGATAACCAGGCGATAGGGGAGGTGGTGTGGCCGATGGTGTCTCAGTCTCCACATTTACCCGAGGCGATTCGGAACGCAAAGAAGATCTACCACCCACCGATGAAATCGATTGTATCGAAGCTGTGGGCGATGGTGAAGAATAATTATGGACCATGGTCGCCTTTGAGTAGAATTCCAGGCTGGTACTGCTGCTAGCCGCACCATTACTACCCGCCGAAGAGGCTTCGCCACGACTATTGGTTAAGTCATAGGTGGCCACCGGTGTGGCAAGACCTGTTGGCCCTGCCGGACCTTGATGATGGTGGTTGTGGTTGGCGTTGTTGTTGTTGTTCGTGTGTGTATTGGTGTTGTTGTTCGTGGTGTTGGCAGTCAAGCTAACCGCTGCCGTGGACAAACCGGGCAACTTGCTGGTGGCCTCGGCGATAAGATTGTGATGCATGTGCGGCAAGAGGTGTGGTGGGAAGGGTAGCGGTGGAGGGGGTATACCATGGCCAGCATTTGTCCCTGGATGACCAGGATGATGAAAGGCGGTGGGATGTGAGGCGGCTGCGGCGGCAGCAGCAGCATGATGGAAGCCTCCCGGATGGTGGGTAGATATGTGAGAGGTATAATTGAAAGAAGCCGATACATTGGTGACCAAGGAGACGGGCAGGTGGCCGGCATGTGGATGATAGGCTGCATGATGTGGGGCCAAGTCATTCAAATGATGATGGCCATGATGGTGATGATGATGGGCCCCAGGGTGTTGATGCAGTTGGGGATGGAGTTTGGGTTTACGGGGTCCCCGCTCATGTTGTACCGCTGTAATGAAAGGAGAAAAAAGAAGAGATTATTTTTTGCCGAACATATGTTAAATTTCGCAAAACGTCTTATCATTATTTTCAAATTAACTTTGTTACGAAAATCCCCCCTCCCCCTACCCCCCTTCAGAACTCAAAAGAAATCCTCCCACCAAAAACCCTTAAGAAATCGCAGATTATCATTACAATTTTATGCTTGAATGACAGCTAAAGGAAACTTTCAAGGAATTTTAAGGTTTACCACACACACCCAGAAAACCCCCCTCAATTCCCTTCCTCCCCCCTCCCCCACTTACCAAGAAAAAAATCGAAATATGAGGGTTGATTTACTTCACTTTGCTGACTTTGCGCAAAAAAGACCACATCCTTAACCCAAAGGATGGTAGAAAAAGGCGGAGGCAAAAGTTCACTAACACACAAAGGACCTGCCGAGCGCAGAGCAAAAATCAAAATGGCGCTGAGGTTTGAGTTTTTGATTTGTTCACTATGTATACTTGGCTAAGTATACTCAGGGACCCCAACCTCTGCTGCTCCTCATCCGCCACTTTCCTTTTAAGTTTCAATTTTGCATTTGCAAGGCAAGTGATTTGGTGGGGGGTGGGTGCGGGGCACTCGCTGATGACAATTTTGTGTCTATGCAAATATTTGCTGGAAGGCAAACTTTTTAATTTTTCCTTGATTGAAAATAAAGATTTGGCAGTGCTCTTTTAATGGAATGCGGGTGAAAAGTTTTGAAGAAGAAACAAAAGAAAAAAATGGAAGGACTTAAAAAGGAAAGCCGAACCTCAAAATCGCAAAAAGTCATTAAAAGATAATTTTAAGAATTTTTTAGGGCCTCTTATAATCGAAGATTTTTTAAAAATATTTTTCAAAGGCCTTCACTAAATCGGAATTTCTAAAAACATTTTTTCGAGCATCACTCATGGGCGTGGATTTTCAAATAATATTTTTTCAAGGTACTATCAAAGGCGTGGATTTTTTAAAAATATTTTTTCAAGGTTCTATCAAAGGCGTGGATTTTTTAAAAATATTTTTTCAAGTTGGCGTAGGGGATGATAGATACCAAGCAACGGCCCTCTTTCATCTCTTATGTGGACACTGACCTCCCGCGGTGTAACCTGGGTTAGCTATTTTTCATCACCCGTTGAAATAGTGAGCTAATATGTGCCGCAAGTTCACCCATAAGAACTATAAAAAATGGGTTGAGACGTCGGGTTAGTTGCCCACACTCGGAAAACCGAACCTACTATGGAAAAGAAAAACAAACCCCTAATGTTGGCGACCCCCGCAAACGTATAAAGAACCATGATCTGCGAATCTGCACTTGGAAGGTGCACACCATGTACAGAACAGGCGCAGTTTTCGCTTTGGCGGATATACTCAAGAAAGGGACTGGCCTAAGTAAATCAGATGATTACGCCCTGTATTATAGCTGCCATGAAGAGAGACATGAATGTGCTGCGGATTTATGGTTAACAGGAGAATAAAAGACATCGTCTCCAGATTCACTTCAGTAGATGAGCGAATTCTTATAATCCGCATAAAAGCGAAGTTCTTCTACATCAGTTTCATTTGCGCCTATGCTGCGACCGAAGATAAAGATGAACAGACCAAAGACATATTTTACGAGCGCCTAGAAACAGCTTATGAACGCTGCCCTGACCATGACATTAAAATTCTGCTAGGAGATTTTAATACAAAAATCGGAAGGGAAAATATATTTGGCCCCACCGTCGGAAAACTCAGCCTTCATGAATAAACATGACTTCGCGGCAGCAAAAAACATGGTAGTTAGCAGCACCAGATTCAAGCATCCCGATATACAAAAGGCCACTTGGGTTTCTCCCGATCAAGCAACGAGAAATCAAATTGATCATGTTTTGATGGACGGAAGGCATTCATCCAGTGTATTAGACGTTCGATCGATCCGAGGAGCGAATATCGATTCGGACCATTACCTTGTAGCAGCAGGACTATTCAAGACTGGTGGCCAGATGCTGGTCAGGACCATGGACCAGCTGATTAGTACAATTTGGCTAGAGGAATACATGCCCAATGATTGGAACCTCAGCATCCTGTGTGCTAACTATAGAGGAATAAGTCTCCTTCCCATCGCATATAAAGTCCTACCCTGTGTGAGCGATTGAAGCCAATGGTCAATGTCTTTATTGGACCATACCAATGCGGCTTCAGACCAGGCAAATCCACCATTAACCAGATTTTCACTCTGCGCCAAATCCTGGAAAAGACCCACGAAAAACACATCGACACATACCACCTATTCGTCGACTATAAAACCGCATTCGACAGCCCTATCCGTTGAGAGGTGTATAAAGCCATGTCTGCGTTTGGCATTCCTGCAAAATCATTCGGCTATGCAGGATAACTTTATGTGGCACAAGGTCAGCAGTTAAAGTCGGAAAGGACCTCTCGGAGCCCTGCAATACCGAACGACGATTTAGACAAGGTGACAGTTTGTCGTGTGATCTTTTTAACATCCTGCTGGAAAAGGTCGTACGAGAGGCAAAAGTGAACAGAAATGGCACACTGTACACCAAACAACACCAGTTAATCGCCTATGCCGATGACATCGATATAATGGGTCGAACACTGAGAGCGGTAACAGCTACCTTTGAACAAATTGAAAAGGAGTCTGCCAAAGTGGGTCTGACAGTAAACGGCGAGAAGACCAAGCTGATGGTATCAACGCGCAAGACTTCCAGTAGACTCGGACCAACTGTGTGGAACTTGAGAAGTACAGCTTCGAGGTAGTTACAGATTTTATATACCTTGATACCGCCATAAACAAAACGAATAACATCAGTTTTGAAATTCGGAGTAGGATTGTGATGGCCAACAGATGAAACTATGGTCTAAGTAAGCAATTTAGAAACAAGGTAACCTACCGACAGACCAAACTCACACTTTAAAAGACGATGATACTACCCGTGCAGTTATATGGATCTGAAGCATGGATACTTGCGCAAACAGATGAGGTAGCTCTTGGGGTGTTTGAAAGAAAAAAATCTCCGAAAGATCTACGGGCCGATCTGCGTCGACGGTGAATATGGGCGTCGTTTGAACCACGAGCTTTATAATTTATACGCGGACAACGACATAGTCAGTCATATCGAGCTGCAGCGACTGAGATTCCAAGGCCATGTTGTGCGAATGATTGATAACGCCCCAACTCAAAAGGCATATAAAAGCGAGCCTACTGATGGTTCCCGTAGAAGGGAAGGCCACAAATCAGATGGAAAGACCAAGTAGAAAACAACATCTTGGAACGTGGTCTTTCAAATTGGAGGAGATGTGCACAAGACCGACGCGCTTGGAAATCTTTTTTTAAGCTCGGCTTATGGAACAACCGTTCTGTAACAAGCCAGCAAGGTAAAGAGGTATCAAAGGCGTGGATTTTTTAAAAATAATTTTTCAAAGTTCTATCAAAGGCGTGGATTTTTTTAAAAATAATTTTTCAAGGTTCTATCAAAGGCGTGGATTTTTTAAAAATAATTTTTCAAGGTTCTATCAAAGGCGTGGATTTTTTAAAAATAATTTTTCAAAGTTCTATCAAAGGCGTGGATTTTTTAAAAATAATTTTTCAAGGTTCTATCAAAGGCGTGGATTTTTTAAAAATAATTTTTCAAGGTTCTATCAAAGGCGTGGATTTTTTAAAAATAATTTTTCAAGGTTCTATCAAAGGCGTGGATTTTTTAAAAATAATTTTTCAAGGTTCTATCAAAGGCGTGGATTTTTTAAAAATAATTTTTCAAGGTTCTATCAAAGGCGTGGATTTTTTAAAAATAATTTTTCAAGGTTCTATCAAAGGCGTGGATTTTTTAAAAATAATTTTTCAAGGTTCTATCAAAGGCGTGGATTTTTTAAAAATAATTTTTCAAGGTTCTATCAAAGGCGTGGATTTTTTAAAAATATTTTTTCAAGGTTCTATCAAAGGCGTGGATTTTTTAAAAATAATTTTTCAAGGTTCTATCAAAGGCGTGGATTTTTTAAAAATAATTTTTCAAGGTTCTATCAAAGGCGTGGATTTTTTAAAAATAATTTTTCAAGGTTCTATCAAAGGCGTGGATTTTTTAAAAATATTTTTTCAAGGTTCTATCAAAGGCGTGATTTTTTTAAAAATAATTTTTCAAGTGGATTTTATTAAAAAATATTTGGTTAAGGCATTTGTGAAAATGTGTTTGTGTTAATCCCATACTCCTTTCCTTTCACTTTTGGCAATTAAACTTTCTGATCCTCTAATGTCTTAAGAAGTTGACAGGGAATAATGAAATCCATAAAGCGAAATTAGACAGGAAACGTGAGACCAGTAACACATGTGCTATATTAATAGAACATACGTCACACATACACATGAAGACTACCTAAAAAGAATATGTGTAATATTTCGACATAAATATGAATATTGGGGTGGGTCGAAAAAAATGTAAACATTTAAAATATAATACGTAAAAAGCTGACTTATCAGCCAGAATTTTGAAAGGAAACTATAGATGAAGGTGACCCTTTGTATGACTTAAGTGTATTAGTATTTTGGCTATAGGTGTTTTTCGACCCACCCCATTATTTATAAATACAAATATGCTATCTACCAAACGGTAAGTAAACTTATGAATCCTTTTGTCTTTGTCTATTTTCAAACATAAATTTTATCCTTCCACATGTCTTTGTGTAACCAACACAACCATGATAAGATTGTGTGTGTGCGGAAACAATTGGTCTATATCTAGGCCGGCTGAAGGGCGGTATCATAGTGACTTTTATTTGTTGATAATTAAAAACAAAGAAACATCCTGTGAAGAAGATGCTGGAATAAATTCTATACTCAGTTCATTCGATTTACACACTCACACACACATGGACATTTACATATCCTTATAGCAACATACACACACATATGGAATCCCCTTTGTGGAGGAGTGGTGGTAACATTTTAATCCATTGTTAATCGTATGTTGTTATTGTTGTTGTAATTTTCAGGAATCATCATGAAAGGATATTAGAAGTCGCATTGTTCTGATGTTAGATGGATGTATGATAGGATGGATGCAGAGGCCAAAGTGGTTGGGTTAAAGGGTTTTTGTGTCGGAAATTTGTTTATTTTTCTTTTCATTGCTAACGTAACAGATATGTTGCGATAAGGATGTGATGATGGGTGTGGGGGAGAGATTGAAACACTTGACAAAGTTCACACCTATGATATTGAAGGAGAGATGGGGGAATGAATATTACAAATGATTGATTAAAATGGGATTATATAATAAAAAGTGTAAAAATTAATTTTTTTAAGTGTTTTTAATAGTTTATTTCAGCACTTACCATAAGGCGTGGACTTTTTTAAATAATTTTCTGAACCTACCTGAGGCTTGGATTTAAAAAAAAATCTGAACCTGATTCTGAAAAAAAATCTGGGTCTACCATAAGGCACAGATTTTTTAAATTAGCTTTTTTTAATTAGCTAATAGGTCTAGAATGATGTGTGCCAAGTTTCGAGAAAATCGGTTCAGATTTATGTATAGCTCCCATATATAGTATCGTCCGATTTAAGGCAAATTTTGCACCAAAGCCCCAATATATCTTTCGATTTGCACGAAATCGGGCACAGCGTAACGAATTAGGTCTAGAATGATGTGTGTTAAGTTTCGTGAGAATCGGTTCAGATTTAGATATAGCTCCCATATATATTTTCGTCCGATTTTTATACCCTTCACCACACTGTGGTACAGGGTATTATGTCTTTCTGCATATGTTTGTAACAGGCAAAAGGAAACGAGATATACCCATATTTCCTTTTGAGAATATGCATAGAATCACTTTCTGAGTCGATTTACGCATGTTCGTCTGTCCGTCCGTCCATGTATTTTTGTGACCAAAGTACAGGTCGCATTTACTATCCGATTTGGATGAAATTTGGCACAAGTCACTTATTTGGTCCAAGGACGAACCCTATTGAAATTGAAGAAAATCGGTCCAGATTAAGATATAGCTCCCATATATATTTTCGTGCGATATACGCACCAATGTCCCTACATATTATTCGATTTGCACGAAATTTGGCATATGGTACTGAATAAGGTCCGGAATGATGTGTGCCAAGTTTCGAGAAAATCGGTTCAGGTGTAGATATAGCTCCCATATAAATTTTGGTCCGATTTAAGGTAAATGGTGCACCAAAGTTCCTATATATCTTTCGATTTGCACGAAATTTGGCATAGAGGCATCGGTTCAGATTTTGATATAGCTCCCATATATATTTTCTTCCGATTTAAGGTAAATGGTGCTCCAAAGTTCCTATATATTTTTCGATTTGCACGAAATTTGGCATAGAGTACTGAATTAGGTCCGGAATGATGTGTGCCAAGTTTCGTGAAAATCGGTTCAGATTTATATATAGGTCCCATATATATTTTCGTCCGATATAAGGTAAATTTTGCACCCAAGTCCTTATATATCTTTCCATTTGCACGAAATGTTGCATAGGGCACTAAATTGAATCTAGAATGACGTGTGCCAAGTTTCGTGAAAATCGGTTCAGATTAAGATATAGCTCCCATATATATTTTCGTCCGATTTAAGGTAAATGGGGCACCAAAGTTCCTATATATCTTTCGATTTGCACGATATTTGACATAGAGTACAGAATTAGGCCCGGAATGACGTGTGCCAAGTTTCGTGAAAATCGGTTCATATTTATATATAGCTCCCATATATATTTTCGTCCGATTTAAAGTAAATGGGGCACCAAAGTCCCAATATATCTTTCGATTTGCACGAAATTCGGCACAGCGTAATGAATTAGGTCTAGAATGATGTGTGTTAAGTTTCCCGAAAATAGGTTCAGATTTAGATATAGCTCCCATATATATTTTCGTCCGATTTAAGGTAAATGGGGCACCAAAGTCCCTATATATCTATCGATTTGCACGAAATTTGGCACAGCGTTCTGAATTAGGTCTAGAATGATGTGTGTTAAGTTTCGTGAAAATCGGTTCAGATTTATATATAGCTCCCATATATAGTTTCGTCCGATTTAAGGTAAATGGGGCACCAAAGTCCCTATATATCATTCGATTTGCACGCAATTTAGCAGAGAGTACTGAATTAGATCCAGAATGATGTGTGCCAAGTTTCGGGAAAATCGGTTCAGATTAAGATATAGCTCCCATATATATTTTCGTCCGATTTAAGGTAAATGGTGCACCAAAGTCCCTATATATCTTTCGATTTGCACGAAATTTGGCATATGGTACTGAATTAGGTCCAGAATGACATGTTTCAAGTTTCGAGAAAATCGGGTCAGATTTATATATAGCTCCTATATATATTTTCGTCCGATTTAAGCTAATTGGGGAACCAAAGTTCCTATATATCTTTCGATTTGCATGAAATTTGGCACAGCGTAATGAATTAGGTCTAGAATGATGTGTGTTATGTTTCTTAAAATCGGTTCAGATTCAGATATAACTCCTATATACACTTTCGTCCGATTTTAAATAAATGGTGCACTAAAGACCCATACCTAGGACGATTGACAAAACGTACATAAATTAATAAAAATTAATGACCAGCAAGTTTCCTTGAAATATGTTCAGATTTATATATAGCATAGCTTCCATATATAATTACGACCTACTCATGTTGATTGTACAGCAAATTATCAATGGGTGCCTGATTGATAGATTTTAAACAGTGTGTAATGTTTGCTTTAAGTCCATTTTCAATGTATGGAATAGGTTGCAGAATGACATGTGTTAGAATTGATTATAGATAAAGATAGCATATTTAAGTTCGTTCAATTTCATGTCAATGTTCCTCTGAAAAGGCTACGTCTGTTAGGATACATATGTAGAATATACTCAAAGTGGTGAAGGGTGTCATATAGTCGGCCCAGTCCGACTTTCCTACTTTCCTTACTGGTTTAAATTATTTTTTTTTTGCACCTACCATAAGGCGTGGATCTTAAAATTAATCTTCAAGGCCCAACAGCCCTTGTAAATCTCCTGACAACATCATTTTTCAATTCTACATAAATACAAAGTTCCATTGTCAGTCACCCCTTCTATTAATTCATCAAAGGAAAATCTATTCCAAACCAAAGAAACCACATTTTTGTCTGCCACACCACAAGACAACAACCCACAATATAACTCGACTGGAGATTCCTTCGTTTTGGCATTAAGACTTTTATAAGATTTTGTTGTTTGGCTATAGGCAACATTTTGTGCCAGTGTGTATGTATGTGTGCGACAGTTGGTATTTGTAAAAGTGTTAGAAGGCCTGAGGATGTCAAAAAACAAAAGGCTTAAAAGCCTAAATGTATGCTAAACAACAACAACACCAACAAAATTATAATTTTAAATTTATTTACTGAACAGAATGATATACTTACGACAAAAAGGACACTGAAGGAGTCCTTGAAAAAAACATGCTTTAATGAAAGCATGACTGTGTTGGTTCTTAAAAAGTTTTTAAAAATTTCCACAAATGTTGCAGAGAGACCCTTGAAAAAATATTCTTTAATAAATCCACGCCTCTTTGATAGACCCTTGAAAAAATATTCTTTAATAAATCCACGCCTCTTTGATAGACCCTTGAAAAAATATTCTTTAATAAATCCACGCCTCTTTGATAGACCCTTGAAAAAATATTCTTTAATAAATCCACGCCTCTTTGATAGACCCTTGAAAAAATATTCTTTAATAAATCCACGCCTCTTTGATAGACCCTTGAAAAAATATTCTTTAATAAATCCACGCCTCTTTGATAGACCCTTGAAAAATTATTCTTTAATAAATCCACGCCTCTGTGAGACCCTTGAAAAATTATTCTTTAATAAATCCACGCCTCTTTGATAGACCCTTGAAAAATTATTCTTTAATAAATCCACGCCTCTTTGATAGACCCTTGAAAAAATATTCTTTAATAAATCCACGCCTCTTTGATAGACCCTTGAAAAAATATTCTTTAATAAATCCACGCCTCTTTGATAGACCCTTGAAAAAATATTCTTTAATAAATCCACGCCTCTTTGATAGACCCTTGAAAAAATATTCTTTAATAAATCCACGCCTCTTTGATAGACCCTTGAAAAAATATTCTTTAATAAATCCACGCCTCTTTGATAGACCCTTGAAAAAATATTCTTTAATAAATCCACGCCTCTTTGATAGACCCTTGAAAAAATATTCTTTAATAAATCCACGCCTCTTTGATAGACCCTTGAAAAAATATTCTTTAATAAATCCACGCCTCTTTGATAGACCCTTGAAAAAATATTCTTTAATAAATCCACGCCTCTTTGAGACCCTTGAAAAAAGTCTTCTTTAATAAATCCACGCCTCTTTGAGACCCTTGAAAAAAGTCTTCCTTAATAAATCCACGCCTTGTTGAGACCCTTGAAAAAAGTCTTCTTTAATAAATCCACGCCTCTTTGAGACCCTTGAAAAAAGTATTCCTTAATAAATCCACGTCTCTTTGAGACCCTTGAAAAAATATTCTTTAATAAATCCACGCCTCTTTGAGAACCTTGAAAAAATATTCTTTAATAAATCCACGCCTCTTTGAGACCCTTGAAAAAATATTCTTTAATAAATCCACGCCTCTTTGAGACCCTTGAAAAAATATTCTTTAATAAATCCACGCCTCTTTGAGACCCTTGAAAAAATATTCTTTAATAAATCCACGCCTTGTATAGGGCTTGAAAAAGTCTTCCTTAATAAATCCACGCCTTGGATAGGCCTTGAAAAAATTTCTCTTTAATAAATCCACGCCTTGGATAGGCCTTGAAAAAAGTCTTCTTTAATAAATCCACGCCTTGGATAGGCCTTGAAAAAAGTCTTCTTTAATAAATCCACGCCTTGGATAGGCCTTGAAAAATGTCTTCTTTAATAAATCCACGCCTTGGATAGGGCTTGAAAAAGTCTTCCTTAATAAATCCACGCCATGGATAGGCCTTGAAAAAAGTCTTCTTTAAAAAATCCACGCCTTGTATAGGCCTTGAAAAAGTCTTCTTTAAAAAATCCACGCCTTGGATAGGCCTTGAAAAAGTCTTCTTTAATAAATCCATGCCTTGGATAGGCCTTGAAAAAAGTGTTCTTTAATAAATCCACGCCTTGGATAGGCCTTCAAAAAGTATTCTTTAATAAATCCACGCCTTGGATAGGCCTTGAAAAAAGTATTCTTTAATAAATCCACGCCTTGGATAGGCCTTGAAAAAAGTCTTCTTTAATAAATCCACGCCTTGGATAGGCCTTGAAAAAAGTCTTCTTTAGTAAATCCACGCCTTGGATAGGCCTTGAAAAAAGTCTTCTTTAATAAATCCACGCCTTGGATAGGCCTTCAAAAAGTATTCTTTAATAAATCCCCGCCTCTTTGAGATATTTGAAGAAATATTCTTTTAAAAATCCAGGACTTCAAAAAATTATTTTTAAAAATGCTCTCCTCGATTTGATTGTTTGGAGAATTATTTTCATTTTTGTTGATTTGAAATATTCCTTTCTAATATACCTCTTAACATCTGTGGAAATTCCCAAGCCTTAACTCGTTACATTTTTTATTGTTTTGTGGTAGCAGCCCTGCAATAAAGAGCGGAGTCTGAGCCTGAGCAGCCTCTAGCCTGGAGATAAAAAAAATATATTTTACATTTCAGCGATTTATTTGTTGATTTATTGTTGAAAAATCATTAAGTTGTGATAATAATCAAAACACACACAGAGACACAAACACATTCATACAAATACAATTATGACCCGAACATTATCTGCCTCCGAATATCAGCGAATAAAAGCAAAGAAAACAATTCAGCCATGAAGCAATAACAACAAAAATAATTGCAAAACAAAAGGATAATAAAATGTGGGGGGGTGGGGGTGTAATGATGACAATTGTGTTGAGGTTTCTTTATTTCAATTGAATTTTCATTACCTCATAACCACCACGCACCTCCCCTCTCCAATCTGCAGGACAATGTGTTTGAAGAGGGTATTAACTGTGAAATTGCCCTCTTGATAGATGAAATGATTCGTCAAGGTGTTCCGAGAAATATGTTTTGTGTTTTTCCACCCCTCTTCTTTGGTTTGTTTGTTCATTTCGATACCGAAGGAAGGGGGATGATAATGAAACTGTTGCTGTTGCTGCTGTTTCCTCGCGTCATTCGGTCCATGATGATGTTCAAATCGATTTACAAAGCAGATGAATTGAAATAAATGTTAGGAACATATGTTTTTTTCCGACCACGGGTTAGGTGATAAGGAAGAAGGGGGAGATAACAGGATATTAATATCCTTAATTTGACGATTTGCCTCTTTGAAATACCTCAGCATAGTGAATTTCCATAACCTAAAATTCAGAGGATCTTCTAGAGGGTAAAGTTATATTTTTTGAGCCAAGGACCTGTTACAGAATTTTTATTGTGTTTCTTGTGGTTTTAATTCCTTGCCACAATTCACGAAGTTGTTTCACTTGTGGTGTCCTTTTCTTTTTGCTGTGGGTTGTATCCTCTTTCGGTATCTTCTGCTTCTCAAACATCAGCCTTGTCACTTAAGTTTTCCAGCTAATTGAAATGTTTGATCTTTGAAAGGCTTTGAGGCTTTTTTTGTTGCTATTTTGTCAGCGGGCAAATCAGAGGAAGACATGGCAAGAAAATGTCAAGAAACAGACATGAAAGATGAATGCTTTCCGTTTTGCACTGCTTTGTGGTTTGCGGCTGTTAAATGGGACTTAAATTCAAAACAAAAATGAAGGAAAAAAAAAATTAATGGATTTTTTAAAAATATTTCTTCAAGGGTATCGAACAGGCGTGGACTGTTTTAAAAATATTTTTTTATACCCTTCACCACACTGTGGCGGAATCGAGATAGACCCATGGTTGCTTTTGAGAATATGCATAGGATAACTTTCTGAGTCGATTTATGCATGTCCGTCCGTCCGTACGCCTGTCTGTCTGTCCATGTTAAATTGTAAACAAAGTACAGGTCGCATTTATGATCCGAATTGGATGAAATTTGGCACAGCTCACTTATTTGGGCCAAGGACAAACCCTATTGAAATTGGGAAAAATCGGTTCAGATTTAGATATAGCTCCGATTTAAGGTAAATGGTGGCCCAAAGTCTCTGAAAATGATTTGATTTGCACGAATTTTGGCATAGCGTATTAAGTGTGGAATGACGTGTGCTAAGTTTCGTGAAAATCAGTTCAGATTTAGATATAGCTGCTATATACAGTTACGCCCGATTTTAGGCAAATGGTGTACCAAAGTCCTTATATATCTTTCGATTTTCACGAAATTTGGTAAAGCCTACTGAATTACGTATAGAATGACGTGTGCTAAGTTTCGCGAAAATCGGTTCAGATTTAGATATAGCTCCCATATATAGTTTCGGCCGATTTTAGGTAAATGGTACACCAAAGTCCCTGAAAATCATTTGATTTGCACGAATATTGGTATAGCGTATTGAATTAAGTCTAGAATGACGTGTGCAGAGTTTCGTGAAAATCGGTTCAGATTTAGATATAGCTCCCATATATAGTTTCGTCCGATTTTAGGTAAATGGTGCACCAAAGCCCCTATATATCTCTCGATTTGCACGAAATTTGGCACAGCGTAATGAATAAGGTCTAGAATGATGTGTGTAAAGT